TATCTATTATCTTGTTATTTTTCTGTCATATTATTCTTACAATCTCACTTTAAAAAATTTATATTTTGAGTCTAAAGTCTATCGAAAATAACCTCTTTTTACATTCACAAAGATAAAAACAATGTCGATATATATTCTATCATTTTCAAAGCATACTTGCATAATTATATTGAGTATGTTGTTATTATTGTTATAGAAAATATTTACTCGCAAATAGTACACTACACCTTAAATGATTTTTAGCGGCAATAGCTTAATTGCCGTTAAATCTGCATTTTTAGCGGTAATTAATACTCCTAGTAAATGTTCTTAAAATCTATAGCGACATTGGATCAAATGACATTTAATTAATACTGATAAATATTTAACACTCTTTATTAGTACGTATACACTGCTAAAAATTAATTTTTATTATAGCGATGTTAAACATTAAACTAAATAATTAGTTTCAAAGTTACAAATTACTCCGACAACAAATACTACCATAAATTACTGTGACAACAAATATCACCCAATAATAATCACTGTTAATAAAATTAAAATTAAAATTTTATTGCTAAACAATAAATTATCAGTAATTTTATTTAACAATAAATATACAATATATCTATAATTAGATATAATCAATATGTATTGCGTATAAAAAAAATACAGTAATAAATTTGGCCAATGGGATTAAAAAATCTCCTAATTATAAATTGCAGACATGTGCTCTTTCCTAAAATAATAATTTTATGATTTCTTTTTTTTTGTTCACCTTTCTGTTCTTTTTTTTACAAATATATTTATTTATTTTGTAAAAACCATCAAGTGATTCAGAGCTTGTCAGCATCTTTAATTTGTTAGATTCCTTTTCTTTTCTTATAAAACATTTTTTAAACGTACTCTTCTTTTTAGTTTTTATTTTTTTAGTAAAAAGAAGAATAAATGAAGCTTCTTAAAACGTCAAAACACGTAACATGTAAGTAAGGAGACAAAAAAATGAGTTTCATTTTCTTTGGAGAGTAATCGATATGATTTTTGATATCTTTATTTATTTATAGAATAACATTAAAAAAATTAAAAGATGTCATGAACAAGATTATACAAATATAAATAATATGTCATACTAATAGAGAAAAAAAAATAAGTAAATAAAATGTTTTTTACAATTTTAATTTATTTGTATTATATTACTTAATTTTTTCGTTTTGAACAAGAATATCTCTTTCCTTTTTAATAACTTTTTAATTTTATATTTCATATGTTAAGAGGCCGGTTTGCTATGCCATTACATATGACATGTTTACGATTATAAAATCCAATAAATTACTTTTTTAAAATTTCGTGTTAAGTAAAAAGTAAAAACGTAATGAAGTATAATTTATTAAATAGTATCATAATTAATTAGTTTATTTAATTTTACATTGGTTCAAATAATTTGATGAGTTTGGGACCCCACATCCTCATAAATATTGGTTGAAACAAAGCAAAATTAACAAATTTAACCTTAGCTGTAAATCCCAACTCCACATGCTACACTACATTATTTTAGAAACAGAAATTACGCCTACTTCGAAAGTGTAATTTCCATTTCCATTTTTTGATTTTCTAATTATCGTAATGTTTGAATTAATCTTTTTATATCTAGATTAATTTTATAAAATATCTATTTTATTATTATTAATAATAGCTATCGAACGATTCTATTTATAAAAATAAAACATATAAAGAAAATAATCATTTTCCACAAAAAATTAATACGAAACTTTATGAATATCAACCACTTCATTGTGCTATTTCGTTTGTCTTTCTATTATTTTTCCCTATAAATTCCCTTTTCCCCTTCTTTCTCTTACCCAACCAAATTCATTTCTCTCTAGCATATGTCTCAGAGATCCAATATCCCACACTTTGCATCGATAGCTTTTTCCATTCACTCTCATCTCTTCGTTTCTAGTGAATTATCATCTAATTCCAATTGGTCATAATTTTTTACCTATCATCTCAAAAAAAAAAGATCTTCATCCATCCCTTTTGTATTATTTTTCATCAAAGATTTTTTTTGTTGTTTGGAGTAGATCTTGATTAATTATGGGTGTTAAAGGTTTTGTTGAAGGAGGCATTGCGTCTATTATTGCTGGATGTAGTACACATCCACTTGATCTCATCAAGGTACGTATGCAGCTTCAGGGCGAAGCGTCTGCGTCTGCATCTGTTCAGACGACGCAGACGCTTCGCCCTGCTCTTGCTTTTCCTCCTCCCAATAACACAACAAATGCCCATGTTCCAGTCGCACCTCGTGTGGGGCCCGTTGCCGTCGGTGTACGGATCGTCCAGCAAGAGGGCGTCGCCGCTCTTTTTTCCGGCATATCCGCCACCGTCCTCCGGCAAACCCTTTACTCAACGACCCGAATGGGATTATATGATATGTTGAAGAAAAAATGGACCGACCCGAATACGAAAAACATGCCATTGGGGAAAAAAATTGTCGCCGGGCTGATAGCCGGCGGAATTGGGGCGGCCGTCGGCAACCCTGCTGACGTGGCAATGGTACGGATGCAGGCCGACGGGCGGCTACCCGCCGCGCAACGGCGGAACTACAAGAGCGTGGTGGATGCAATAACCCAAATGAGCAAAAACGAGGGCGTTACTAGCCTGTGGCGCGGTTCATCCCTTACGGTGAACCGCGCCATGCTGGTGACGGCCTCACAGCTTGCGTCTTACGACGAGTTTAAGGAGATGATTTTAGGTAAGGGTTTGATGAAAGACGGACTCGGGATCCACGTGACAGCGAGTTTTGCCGCGGGTTTTGTGGCGGCTGTAGTGACGAATCCGGTAGATGTGATCAAGACTCGAGTTATGAACATGAAGGTGGAGCCCGGAGCGGCTCCACCTTACAATGGAGCACTTGATTGTGCAATGAAAACAATTAAAGCTGAGGGGCCAATGGCATTGTATAAAGGATTTATTCCTACAATTTCAAGGCAAGGACCATTTACTATTGTGCTCTTTGTTACATTGGAACAAGTCCGAAAATTACTTAAGGACTTTTAATTAATTAATTAATTAATGATATGATATGATGACGACGAACAAGTTGATTTAGTAGTTGTTTAATTAATCAAACATAATAATTAGTTAATTCCATGGAATTTGGAACGAGGTAGCACAATATTAGATGTTAGTGTTCTCATTTGTTAGTGTTATATTAATGAGATATATATATATATATATATTTATGTTATCATATTTTCTTTTTTGACACGTCATTCAGATGAACAATTTTAATAATGTTGACAATTAACATAGAGTGAAGGAATAGATGCAAATTTAGTTAAAAGTATATTTTAATAAAAGTTACTATCTAATCTCACATTTAATTCATCCTTCTTAATTATACTAACAAAACTTACAATTCATATATTCAAACTTATTTCAATTTAGTCACAATACAAATCTTAATTTCTAATGTGCTTCTAACAAGCAATTAGTAAACTTATAACACGTACCAATAACTTTTTGTTTCATTACATATGAAAATATTAAATATATAAAATTTAAGATACTAATTTTTTATTTACGATAGATATAATGTCTTCTTGAAATGAAATAAAACAGTGTTAGGAATAATTTTTTTCATTATATATATGTCCAATAATCTTCTATTATTTTGTTATTAAATAATTGAGAGAGGGGTTTTCAGGGTCCCAAAAGGCAACACAATTACACGTTTATTGTGATGTTATTGTCATGCATTGCATTTGGTATTAGGATTTTTGGTTGATGAGCTTGGATTATATATAAGGTAGAGCCCAAGGACCATTGATGGCAAATAAAGTTTTTCTAGAGCTGAATTACGCGTGTACTTTTATTAAAATAGAATTACAGAGATATTTAATATTTTTTTAAATAATATTTTCAATCAAAACCCTAGAATTAGTAATGTCTATCCTTTATATCTTCCCATGTATCACCAGACACTAAAATTATCTTAAATAATTGTATTTTTAAGTTCGTTCAATTTAAATTGAGGAGGTGATCCATATGATTAAATTGAGAAGTTCTTTTTTAACCTTCTATTTACTAGTATTTTGGTGTAGGAATTTTGCAAGATATTGATTTTACTTTTAGTTCATTCTAGATGATTACCAAATATAACTTGTCATGTCAATAATTTTTTTTACCAAAAGTTCCCAAAGGGGAATATGCAAAAGTCTTTTCATCACATAGACTGGCCACTTGCATTTTGCTTTAACAATTTTAATGATATATTACTCCTTTTTTTTCATTCCATTCTAAATATAGTGATTCCAAATATACTTTTATCATTCTATATTAAAAGTTTATATTTGAGTCTCTTAAAAAATGGAGTCGTTTTTATAAGAGAGGATTTTATCCTTTAATGTGAAATTTTTCTACGAATATACGAATTTAATCATATTTTAATAAGAATATCAAATATCGAATGAGAAATCAAAAAAGAATAAATTCAATCATTTCACTAATAAAAGTCGAGGAAGTCGAAAGCAACTTTTTACCAAATTATATTTGCTAGCTCTGGTTCTTGTTTATGTTTGTGTGTCAAGCACACATTGATGAGTTTAGTTTGTGGGAGTAAACGGATTTTAATTTAGGGGAACTTACATAAATTTTATTAATTTAGTAGCTAATTACTTAGACATATTTTGATTTGTAATATTACGTATCTTATCAGATTTTGGATTTTCTAAATACGTCTAGATACATGTATCTTGGATACATGGTTTGAATTTAGGTCTCTAACACTACACCATTTTAGGCCTACGGCCACACTAATTCTTGACTACACTTGTAAAGTGTTGCCTAAAGTAGTTTTGGGAACGCTTTTAAAGCGTAGCTGAAATTTTTAACTTTTAGCTACAATAATTTTGGCAACACTTTGAAAGTGTACTCTTTAATGGTATAAGATACACTTTATAAGTGTTTTTACAATATGATATAATTAACAACATTTATTTACATATATGGCCACACTTTTAAAATGTTCTATTTTTATAATTGAAAAAACAACACCTTATAAGTGTTGCCTTGAAAATTTTATATTCCCTCCAATATTTTAACACTCCCTCCCTCCCATTTATATTGGCCAAAAAAAAAACATTAATAAATAATAAACCTTAACTTTTTCACTTCACTTTACTAATAAAACATAAAAGTTGAAGGTCCAAATATAATTTTTTTTGGGAGAAAAAACGATCTGCCCCCAATTTCTTGAATGAAAAATTTTCCACTCGGCTCAAGACATTGAAGCTCCAAATCTGAAATTTTCATAAAGCAAAACTATAATTTTTTTCAGGTTTCAAGATTTTGTTGTTCATCTCGGACATTCAAAACGTGATTATTTTTTTGTTTACAGGTTTTAGTTTCTGTTTTATTCCATATGTTTGGCTTAATACAGAAAGTGTAGGAGATAACGAGCTATTCCATCTTTGTAGCGATAGTTCAGCTCGTTACTGTCTCTGTTCGCTGCCCGGGAGAAGGTGATAAGTCTCTTGACTTTTTTTGCGTATTGATGGATGTCTGTATCTTTTATGCCATGTGAGATAAATACCAGCGTTACTCTGTCTAAATGCTAAGTAATTATTCTTCTGTTGTGCTCGGAATTAGTTCGAGATTTTCTTCCTATGGTGAATGTTTCGAATGCTTTGCATATTCGGTCTTCTTTTACGCATGTGTTCGGAGTTCGACATTTGGTTGTTTCTCTTTTGATTTCATGAATACCTTTAATGTTATAGCTCTGTCGTTAGATTTTAGTTTCTTTTTCTGAAACTTCTCTTAACAAAACAAAAATGAAATGCATCCTTCTCCTATCAAGTTTGTTCCATATTTTATTTCTTTCTTTCTTCTTTTCCTTTTTTTTTTAATCGTATAAGTTGTTTAAGATAGCATTAGTAGCTCGAAATTTCCTTAATATCATGTTGCTATTGTGTCAAATCTTCAAGCTTGTTATTTGTAACTTCTTGAGAAAATATGGAGGGCCACTTGGTTCCAAAAGAGGGAGTTCGAATTAGCACCGAGGTTGCTGGTTGATTAATTGGCATCTAGCAATATGAATTTGTGGGTAATGAGTTATCTGATACTTGAGCACAAGGCTAAGCTAGTTCGGTTTTCCCTTCAATACCGAAGAAGGTTCTGCACATTGGACATGCATTTTGTGTGCTCTTTGTTTTCTTTATCACTGTGACTTTGAATCACTGTCTTCTGGTAATTATTATGTGACTTTGAATCACTGTCTTCTGGTAATTATTATGAAGATAGTAATCTACTTTGCATCAGCTTTAGAGTATTTCTTGGCAGATATGTACCCTGTGCTATTAGGTGCCCAGTTGATGGACTGATTTCACATTCAAAAGAGACATCTGTTGAAAATAAACTTCATGACATGGGATGTTTTGAAATTTTCCATGGAGACACAATAGGAATCACTACTCAAGGTAATATTCTGAATTATGTATTGCATCAAAATTGAAAAATTCCTTAGTTCTTTCATTAAGATTCAACTGATATGTTATTTATGTCGTAGAAATATCTCTATGTTCAGAGTTCAAAGCTAAAGTATTGTACTGCTAGAAAATGAATTTTCTCCGTGTGACCAAACATATTGTGCTAAAAATTAAACTTACAGTTGCACTATAGCTTCAACTTTCACTTGCAATCTGTCAAAACGCGGCTGGGTCGACGGACCTCGCGACGGGACGTCGTGGACCTCGCGACGGACCGCTGTGGACCTTGTGACAGGCCGTCGTAGTCATGAGAGGCCGTCGTGGTCATGACGGGCCGTCGTGATCATCCGTCGTGGTCATAATGGGCCGTCGTGGACTCTGTCGTCCCATACTTGCAAGTTTCTTCTACTACTTCTTTGATCTTCATGACGAACATGCAGGACGGACCGTCATAGCTACGACGGTCCGTCACGCTTTCCGTTACAGCTGAAATTTCAAATTGATTAATTGTTAAATTTTTTAATTTTGTGTTCTTTCTTGATGGAACAAATTTGTTTACTAGAGGAATTGATACGCAAGCAGTTAACGTTGTTATCAATTCTGATTTTCCTAAGAACTCAGAAACGTATTTGCACAGGGTATGTATAACATATCTTTGATCTTGCTTATTGACTTATATATTGTTTTTGCTATTTCATCATTGGTAATTTATTGTTAGTGGCTTTGGTTTGAATTGAGGTAAGATTTTGTTTCTCTTGACCACTATTCATCTTGCTTGTTTGGTATGGTTGAAGTGTAGTTTGCTAATTAATTCCTTTTTTCTTTAGTGTTAGTGTTAGTTTGCGTGCATCATGGTTATTGTATAACACCAAATATTTTATATTGTTACTTATGAAGTTTGAACCCTAATGCAATTATTCATTGTTGTTGAACTCATTTGGAATTGTAGACACCTAAGGGAAGATCATCTACTTTGAACATTAAAAGACAAGTAGGCATCTACTTTGAACATCAAAAGATGCAATCTAATTTTCCGTAACTGTTGGATTTCTTGCCTCTCTATATTGTTGCAATATGAACTTCTTACCTCTTCTATATAACTGTCAATATCTTATTTGTGTAGGGAAATGGAGGTGATCAAATTTGAAGTGGATGAAGAGTTTTTGAACTATTGTAAAAGTTTAAATACATATTTGATTTATTGTGTACACATTTAGAATATTGATGTATAAGTATGGATATGTACACAACACATACTATCTTTTGGTTGTACATGAAATATTTCTCGAAGTTTATTTGAAATATATAGCTTCAATTAATGATTAATTAGTTCATTTTGTGTTTTAGGTCACTTGTATGTATGTAAATATATTATATATATTTGTGCTACATGTAGGCTTATAAATGTTGAAGTTACACTTTGTAAGTGTTGCTCTAGGTAGATAACAAGTTACACTTTGAAAGTGTTGCAATAGATGACCAATAAAAGGCAACACTTTTTAAGTGTGATCAATAAATCTGAAAAGGCAACCTTTTAAGTGTAGTCTAACAAAAAATAGGTGTTGCTAATGCACTTCTTCAAAGCGTGCCCTTATACCTATTTGGCTACGCTTTATAAGTGTTGTCAAAGATGGCAACATTTAAAAAGTGTTGCCTCATGTCAAAGGTTACGCTTTTTTTGGGCAACCCCTAGAAAGTGTTGCTGAATGTCCAAAAGTGTGGCCTTTTATCAAAGGCCACACTTTTTGCTAGTTTAGGCTACACTTACGTGGTGTTGCTGTTGGCCGAAAATGGTGTAGTGTAAATACATTATATTCAAGTGGATTCGCATGTATCTTGAATATATACGAATCTCGTTCGTCTATCTTCCTATTTTTGTATATATGGTAGCAAAAAATACATATATCTAAAAGTAAAATATGTAAAAAAAATTTAATTAATGATAATATACGTAATATTTTAAAAGTATATATAATAGTAATAATATATATAATAGTTAAGTATATATAAGCCGTCCAATTCTATCTACTAACTTTATGTATGGGCTAATTAAAACAGCCCAAATCGATCCATGTATATCTACCCATCATTGGGGAGGATGGATAGCTTATTAGTTTGTGAATTTTTATACTGCCCAAAAAAAAAAACAAAGGCCATGACAAAAAACAATAATAATTCCAATCTTTTTAAAAAAAAATAAATTTTAGTCCATATACATTTTATATATTAAGTTATAACTGATAATATACTGAAGGGTTGTTTGGTAGATTCAAAGTCAGGGGAAATTATAAAAATTTCATGATTAATTTATGAGCAAATTACTTAGATATACTTTAGCTTGCAATATTACGAATCTTATCATATTTTGATTTGTCTAAATACATGTAATCTGGGATACATTGGGTCAAAATTAGGTATAATTTGTTCTCGATAAACTATATCCAAGTGAATTCACATGTATATGATATATATAAGAAATCTCCCACACTTCTCTTGCCTCCTTTCCATCTCGCTCGCCACTCTCCATGTATATGGTATTCCAGATACATGCTACCCACACTAGATGTGATTCACATGTATTTGAGATACATAACTATCTCGCTCCTCTCCCTCTCCATCTCGCTCGTCTTTCTACCTAATTTAGTATATATGGTAGCAAAACACGTGTATTTAGGTGTATCTTCTTCAATATATGGTAGGAAACTCTTAATTAGTGATAAAATATATGATAATGGAGTATATGTCTAATTCTGTAGTTTCTCGTTCAAGTTATTCATTATTAATTTTTGTATAACTTATACAATATTTAGTAGGTACTAGGTAGTAGGAAATACACTATTCATCTATAAAATTATTATGTCATTCAGTCGACAGGTTAGAAACCCGCATAACTAATACTTGTATATATTATGAGAGCATCTATGTATTATTTTATGTAGGACAAAAGGTGAAAAAACTAGTATATGTATAACTATTACATGAATAAATAATTTTCATGTAACTAAAACCTGCATAAAATAATATATAAATTTACTCATAACTAATTCCTACATTACTCACATAACTAATTCCTACATTACTCACATACGCATAATTCTAACCAACTACAGTATGATCTCAGAGTTTATAATGACAGTAGCTATAAACAATTACGACCATTTATATGAGTGTATGAACGGTGCGAATAAGTTAGGTAGCGTGAGGTGAGGATCGAGTCGAATTAAACAAGGTAATGCTCATTCAAACTCACACGATAAAAATGTTACATTGTATAGATAAACATATTTTTTCATTTTTATGTATATATCATTAACGCAAGATAAGAAGTCAATTTAGTGGTTTAAGGAGTTCAAAACTAACCGTGAAATTCTTATTTCTATGCTATTTAAATGAAAATTCTAAATCTAGCATCCTCGGCGGGCAATTTCAAAAGAAGGCATAAGTGGCAAAATTTCATTTTAACTTAACTTGGCAGAAGGCTATGTTCCATCAATAAAAGTATAAGCATAGATCATAAATATATCCAGTTCTGATTTACTATGGTCCAAATAATAAATATTTTTCTTCTTCAAACCAATCATACTTGTGGCCATTTACATATGTCCTTTCTTTTTCTTTCTCTAAACTTTGACCATAAAAATCAGATCATATGGTCCTTACCCTTTTAATATGTTGTTTTTCTTACTGTCCTTTTACTCCTTTAGGTCCCCTAGGGTTTTAAATTCGAGGTGTAATGTGAATTGTGAAATAGAGGGAAACGAAATTTGAAAAAATTAAGTTTCTTTTAAGGTGTGTTTGTTATGAGGCGTAATGTGAACTGAGAAATAGAGGGAAATGAATTTGGACAAATTAAGTTCATTTTAGGGTGTGTTTGGTATGAAGGAAACGAAATTTGAACAACATATGATTCATTGTTGTTAATTCTATTTACAAGTATTACATAATAGTGTTTTGTTCTATTCTGAGAAAAATTAATCTAAATTTTGAACAATTTTGTAGAAACTAAATTTCTTCTGAACATACAATTTTATGTTAAAATTGAAACTTGATTTGTCTAATATTTCTTCTATTTTCAGTGTACAATTATTAATATATCAATAACATATTCTTTTATGATGTTTGATAATGATACACGTGATATATCATGATCTTAGTTTGTAAGAGTAAAAAAAGAAATAAATAAATTCGCTATTGAAAGGAACTTTAACTAAAACAAAATATAAAAAGGTCCATAATGAAGGGGAACTAATCAAGCCAATTTAATTCCAAATTAGTTTTTTTGTAAAAAATTAATTTAGCAAAAAAAGGAGGAAGATTCCAAAAAGTATTTTTTTTATACACCTTGCAAACATGAATGTAAAAGCACACAAGCTTTTCATGAATTTATATTAATTTTTTAAAAGTATTTTTAATGAAATTTCTAACTTATTTTTGATCCAATCACTCGAAACAAAACTCTTTTTTTAAATAGATAAAGTCATCGATGCATTTCAAACTAATATTTGTAAAAAGAAAAAAAAATCTTTTGGCTCCTTTTTTTTTGGGTCTATTTGAAGACCTATGGGCTATGTTAATATTTTAGAATTTTGTCTTTTATAACAAATAAGACCTATAATACAAATTAGAAGTAAAATCTATTCATAAATAATGTCTCCCCCCTTGAAAGAAAAATAATTGTACGTGACCGTGCACATAAAACAATAACACAATGTTGGTTCTTTTCTTTTTCCCTAATAATTCTTCCCTAATTAAATTAGGATTTCAAAAATTACGATCAAAGTATATTGTTCGTATCATAATAAATGGTTTAAAATTCTTAAAAGAGTATGAGATTCTTAATAAAAAATAGAGAAATGTGTTGAAAATACTCTTAAACTTGACGAGAATTTAGGGGCATATTTCATTCTTGTTACTTATACGATAGGGAATATATTCAATACTTCGTAGTATCGGCCATTTACCCCACTTCCCTCCAGATTTCATCAAGTGGTCATGCTAGAGACATAAACAGTCATGGATAATTAAATTATATATGTATACATATATACACTAGATGGTTGTTGTCCGTGCACGCACGGGCCTGATATTTATCTATTTATGTAAAAATTAGTTTGAAAATGAATTTACTCGAAAACTTCTTTAATGAATAGTTACATGCATTATTCATATGTTGACTACACTTCCTAGATGAATCTCTTTGTTTGAATCATTGGTATATATACACATTTGAATTGTTGGTATATATGCAAATTGATGATAGAACTGACTCTGCATATATGCAAATTGTTGCAATTTCGTTTGAGGTCGCTTGTGATTCAATAACCCCCTAAAAGGGAGCTAATAAGCTACGCTTCAGTTGAGAGAAATACAATTACCAATATAATAGCAAGACAAGAACAGATGAATCTAAGAATTAATGAAAATTGAAAGAACACCAGAGAAAGCATTATGAAAAAAAATTATATATGCTTTATTTAGTAGTTGAACTACAGTTGGATGATAAAATATAGCAAATACAAGAGGGACAAAATATATTGAAGGAAAAAAAGGATACATATACCTCGAACTATCGTAAATGGTATGATATATCCTTCGTCATGCTTTAGGGACATTGGTGCCCTTTCCGTCCAAAAATTAGAGCATATATACCGTTTATACTAACGGACATACACGTGTCGTAATCTTATCCACCGATCCTTACATTGGATCGATGGATAAGATTGTGCCATGTCCCTATTTAGTGTTCTATTAGAGTGAAGAACATATATACTCTAGTTTTTTGATGGCAGGAGCAACAATGTCCCTAAAGCATGACAAATGGTATCTGCATACCATTTGCGATAATTCGGAAGTATATTTATCCTTTTTCCCTATATTGAAAACCTTGAGAATTAAAATGCAATTATAATGATGCAACAATTTCTGCTGAATCCCAAAAAAAAAAATATAGAATCAAAGGTTAGAAAATGCTCATTTTAAGTAGATTCTTAAGTTCAATTTGAATACAAAATGATTTATCAAAATTTTATTGCTCAAGATAGCAAAGGTTATAGGAGGTCATTCTCATATGATTTTATAAGATTTTTAATAGCTAAATTGACATATGTCGATTCTCTGGCGCTTCTAATATAGTAGAAAAAGATATATATATATATATATATATATATATATATATATACTAA